ACAGCTTGAGTAAAGTATTTGTTTGTATCCATATGTACTGCAGATGCCTGATTACTTGAAATTTGCTGAAGTAAATAGCTATTGGATAAATAACTCTATATTGAGATGGTACTCTACTTTATCCCCAATGCTGTGTTCTTTAATACTTGTAACCCTCATGTTGCCGGGCTTGGAGTGTATACTAACGAATGAAGTGGGGCATCAGTGGTTGGTGGCTGGCTGACTTATATACACTGGGACAGTCACTTCTATCACTATGTACACCAAAGCCTGAATAGGTAACATATCAGATATCATCTCCCACACCAGCGGCCCGTATAGAGACCGTGCCATTCACACTATCCAGGTTGTTATACATACTATAGTTTTACTATCAAGACCTGAATTATTATATAGTATAGACAAATTAGATCTGATTTCATTGATTTCCACCAACAAAATCACGGGATCGGTGAGACATAGCTGTTAGGTAGGGTCTTATAGTTATTCAGGATAGATTCTGGTTCGGAGCAACACAATAGAACAGTTGGTGGGATTACCCCACAGTGTGGGTCAGGGGGGGATCACACAATAGAGATGCATAGTAAGATTAAACCCATTACAGCAGGAGGAACCCCAGTATAAGGGAGATCCACTCACAAGTCAGCCCTGCACTAAGGGGTCAGAAACCCCGATAGACAGCATTTGGTGTGATTCTGCAGCTAATCATAACCATCCCAATATTGTACTTTTACTCAAGGTGTCTTGAAGTCTCAGCTAGCCACAATAGTATTATCCCTTCAGCTGTCTTAGACCTGGATCATGGATTTTCAGCTCTGTTACTATTGTCCAGCCCGTGTTAAGGGATAGAAAATAATTTTACAAAGATGCATAGGACACTGGTATATATTCTGGGATTTAAATATGGCTCCAGGCGCTGGATAAAACTTGTCTCTTACTAAATCTAAACCACAGTCTTCTAATAGAAAGAGTGCAAGTCTATTTTCTATATTCTTTTTACAGATCTTGTCTTGTGCCTTTCCTACCCTACCAGCAATATGACTTCAACCTGGGAATGTATGCCCTAATATAAGTCCAGAGCTCCCCCTCTTCAAACCTTGGCTTACATTAAACAATCTCCAGCATCTACCCTTATTAAGGTCTCTAAACATGGGGATGGCGAGTATGAAGCAGTTCAATATGAGCCAGTGGAAGAAACTCACCGTACCCCACACCAACGGGCAGCCCGAGCTGACATCCCCCTTGTTTCTTTTGGGCCTATCACTGTACGATCCCTGCTCTCCGTACTGTGACTACAACCATTAATCCATGCTATTTTACAGGTTAGTGGCTATATCAATTTGCAGTCATTTGAGGCAGAGCTGTCTGTGAAGGTTCTTGGAATAAGCCTTGGAAAGCTGTCAGGAAACCTGCATACCGGAATTACACTGAAAGTCAATCTTTTCGTTGTTAAGGGTAAAGTCACATTCTTCCTAAAAGGAAAGGAAGTCTGGGTAAGAATTGATGTTACTGGATATGAAAACAAAGAGCATAAACTGTTCAGCATTCCCCTGCGTCAGGGAGACCCGGGTGATACAATCGAGTACTATGAAGGGTTTGACCGATTTGAGTGGGTTAAGGACAATCGACTGGCTCGGTCAAATGCGCCCTACTACCAGAGCAAAGACTCTGATCAGAGAATAGATAACAAAGCCGTGAATTTCCTTAAGCAGAAGGGAATACAGACAATAATCAGCCTTAACAGCCGCAGCTTATCATCTGCCGAAAAGAAGCTGCTAGAGCAAAACAAGATTACATACCATCATGTACCGGTGGAAGACTACCAGGCACCGACACTGGATGATCTGGCCGCTATCTGGGCATACTACCAGAACGGTGGATGTACAGTAGTCTGGTGTGGGTACGGATGGGGAAGAACCGGCACTGCTATTAGCGCTATCCAGCTCTACAGTGGGGAAAGCCTAAACCATGACGATTATAAAGCCAATCATGTGGAAACAGATCCCCAAATCAAAGTTTTGGATGAGCTAAAGCAGAAGATAAAGAAGTAAGTTATGATATAATCTATACAGGCATAAATATTACAGCTAATACTATATTCTAGTGAACTCTGACATTCGACTTGGGATATAATATATATATAGATAAGGAGACAGAGTGGTGCCACTGAATCTGGATCTATCCTGGGACAATTTTTGTCTTTTTCTACTCCTGAAGCAGTTAGTATTCAACATACTTATCATTCTTGAGATATATCTCTATACTAGTAATGAAAGTTTCTCTTGATTATATCTACAATACTGTTATGTATATACCTGATGACCTAGTATAATCCATTCATTCTATTACTATTAGTGGGAAAGCCGGTGTATTAATATATTTCTCTCCGCAAAAGAAGATATTTATATAATACTTAACAAAAAATATAATGTAAGTAGATATTATAGTATATATTCAGCTATCTATAGGGCAATATACCAAGGAACTTAATACCATTATAATGAGAAAA